GAACCAACGAATCAATGAACCAATGAACCAATGAACCAATGAATCAACGAACCAACGAACCAAAGAACCAACGAACCAACGAACCAATGAACCAACGAAAAAACGAACAAAAGAACTAATGAATCAATAAATCAATGTATCTATGTATAAATGTATCAATGTATCAATGTATCAATGAATCAATGAATAAATGAATCAATGATTCAAAGAATACTAAGATAACAAAATGAATATATCAGTTAATCAATCAAAGTATTAATGAATGGTTTCCTGGTCAGCCATTGTACTGTAGTTTCCGTGATAGATCACAACATTATGAACAATATTTTGAACATCAGATCTAAAATTAAAGTCAAATAATAATTTACACTTTATTCAAGAAATTGGACTCGGGTAATTAACTATTTAAGGACCCCCCCCCCCCCCTTCAATATAATATTTCAGTAATTATTTGATATCATCCATAAAAACGGCTATCAAAGCAAATAGTCTATAACAATTTTTGCATTCAGTAAAACAATTGATAAGAAAGAAGTTGTTTATTATTTAAACATCAAGAGGTAAGTTTTTTCATTATTTTTTTTTAGTCTTTTTCCAATTTATTTAATTTTTCCACAATTTAACGAATAAAACCTTACAAACAACACACGTAACTTTTGGGGATTAAATTATTTTCAAAAGGATGGGGATGATTTTTCAAGAAAATATGCACCCCTGGAAACTCTAAAAAAGTATTGTTGAAATAATCCCACCTGAATTCGTCTGGTACTCTGTACTGTGTTGACTGTGCTTTAAGATAAACCTCGTCAAGGTCTATATGTCTTTTTAATAGAAACTTAGCGCGCCATTTCTCCTCACCAAAACTAGCAAACGCTTCCCGGTCAGCCGAGTTCACAATCCCACCCTCACCTGGGGTACATACAGTACATAACATTGTTCAAATGGACTATACGCGTTATTTCAAGTGACCCTCCATGCAAAGATGTCAATGCCCGATTTACAACAGTACACTAAAAAGCCTTTTCTAATCATATTAGATATCAATGTTTTTGTTTCCTTAAGGTGATTAATTTAATTTCCGCTTTCTCTGCGACAGTGACTTGCGCATTCCTTATTCATAAGAAGCAACGGAGAAACGTACAGAAATAATCTCTTTCCAAGTCAGAAAAACGGCATTTGCTTCCATATTTTTGATCAGATAAAGGCTTCAAGGATACCGTTGTTGGAAAACTAGGAGTACATGGAATTACAAAGTATTATGGAATAAACAGAATATATGGAGTACATGAAAAACAAGAACATAGTACATGAAGCTAAAAAAAATATATAGAGTACAAAAGGAAAACATTAGAACATGAAGTACATAAATTTAATACATAAATACAACATGTACATGGAGTATAAGGAGTAAAAAGAATACAAAAAGTACATTACATTCATACATGGAGTATAAAGAGAACATTAAATACATTTTCAAAAACCGGTCTTTGTTCCTCCAAAGTTTCATTTTGAAATAGCGAACTCTAATTTACTATTGGCTTACCTACAGTAGCTTTCCGGTCACTGGTCAAATATGGATTCTTAGCAGGGGGAGGAGGAGCACGGGATAGGATACTGTGGGGCATCTTTTCTTTTAACCTACATCAAATCAAATCAAATCAAATCAAATCAAATCAAATCAAATCAAATCAAATCAAATCAAATCAAATCAAATCAAATCGAATAAAATCAAATCAAAATCAAAATTAATCAAATCAAATCCATGTCATGGAACATTTACTGAACATTTACTGAACTTTTAATAGAAGAACTTAAAGAAAAAATATTTTTAACGATGGACCTTAATATACAATTCAGAGAAATTATGAAAATAATTGCTGATTAGTTGATATTTGTGTTTTGCAGATCCGGATCCAGGAAGCCAAAATGTTGGAGATCTAAAGGATCCTAAGCACTGAATATACTATTATATAATATATATCACCTTGTTGCTACTATGCTAAGAAGATGATTAAGATCTCGTCTCTCGTTTTTATCGAACTCTGTCGGGATTGTCTGGAAGCCTCGACAGTATTGACAAACGAACACTAAATGGTCGATCAGCTCGTCCTGGTGAAATAAAACATATATTTGTTTAAAGCATGTTGTGAAATAGAATCAAATTTAAACAAATCAAAACAAATCAAGTTTTGAGATAATTAAAAAAAAAAATAAAAAATAATTGAACAACCCTTTTTTTGAAATTACGTTTTTTTCCAGTCTGTTTGGAAATAACATATGTTAAAAGTTTAGGAGAGGAAAAAAACATTGAGGAGGTAAAGGTATTTAGTGGAGGTAAAGGTATTTAGAGGAGTAAAAAGGATTTAGTGGAGGTAAAGGTATTTAGAAGAGTAAAAAGGATTTAGTGGAGGTAAAGGTATTTAGAGGAGTAGAAAGGATTTAGTGGAGGTAAAGGTATTTAGAGGAGTAAAAAGGATTTAGTGGAGGTAAAGGTATTTAGAGGAGTAGAAAGGATTTAGTGAAGGGAAAAGGATTTAGTGAAGGTAATAAGGATTTAGTGGAGGGAAAAGGATTTAGTGAAGGTAAAAAGGATTAAGTGGAGGGAAAAGGATTTAGTGGAGGTAAAGGTATTTAGAGGAGTAAAAAGGATTTAGTGGAGGTAAAAAAAATTGTGTGCAGGAAAAAAGGACTTAAAGAAGGAAAAAAGAATTCAGCGGAGGAAAGATAAGGATTTAAAGAAGGAAAAAAAGGATTTAGAGAAGGAAAGATAAGGATATAAAGCAGGAAAAACGAATTTAAAGGAGGAAAAAAGGATTTAGAGATAGAATTAGATTTAGAGGTAGAAAAAAAGATGTAAAGAAAAAAAATGGATTTCGAAGAGGAAAGATAAGAATAAAAATAAGGGAAAAAGGATATAAAGGAGGAAAATGAGGATATGAAAAGAAAAAAGGGTTTACAGAAGGAAAATTAAGTATATAAAGAGAAAAAGGAGGTTAGAGAAGGAAAATTAAGTATATAAAGAGAAAAAAAGGGTTTGAGAAGGAAAAATAAGGATACAAAAAGAAAAAGGGGTTTAGAGAAGGAAAAATAAGGATATAAGAAGAAAAATGGGTTTAGAGGAGGAAAAATAAGGATATAAAAAGAAAAATGGGTTAAGAGGAGGAAAAATAAGGATATCAAAGAAAAAATGGGTTCAGAGAAGGAAAATTAAGGATATAAAAAGAAAAAGGGGTTCAGAGGCGGAAAAATAAGGATATGAAAAAAGGGGTTCAGAGGCGGAAAAATAAGGATATGAAAAAAGGGGTTCAGAGAAGGAAAAATAAGGGCATAAAAAAGGGTTTACATAAGGAAAAACAACCTGATGTAAAAAAAAGGGGGTTAGGGGAGGCAAAATAAGGATATAAAAATAAAAAAGGGTTTAGAGAAGGAAAATTCAGTATATAAAAAACAGGATGTACAGAAGGAAAAATAAGGATATAATTCAGAGCAGGAAAATTAAGTTATTAAGTAGGAAAAAAGTTCTTTTTAATAATATATACATTATAGTAAGCCCCTAGATCTACCTTAAGACAGCTTTGATGATAAACCCTATGGCAGTCCCTGCACAGTATAACCTCACCACCAGAATGACAATGGAAGCAATACCAATCATGCCGCTCAAACGGCAACATATCCTCAGTCGGTAATCTGGAAACAAAGGGATTAATTATTGTAATTTCGTCTTTTGTACATTTAAAAGAGACTGTTAGCGTAATTTCATGTGATCAAGTGTAATTTCATGTGATCAAGCGTAATTTCATGTGATCAAGCGTAATTTCATGTGATCAAGCGTAATTTCATGTGATCAAGCAAAATTTCATGTGATCAAGCTTAATTTCATGTGATCAAGCGTAATTTCATGTGATCATCCATACAAAGATGGGAATGCACTTAAAAACTTTGTCTGATCAAGTATGAATTAGGTATCCATGTTTAGTTTGTATAACTGTATATTTGCGGTTTTTCCTCAGAGGTGAATTGCGCATTTCTTGGTTATAAAAAAATAATGGAAAAATTATTAGAAATGAATACTTTACAAGTCGACGACGTTAACTTCCATATTTTTTATCAATTAAAGTTTCAAAGGCACTGTTGTAAATCAGACATTGTTATCTTTCCATGAAGGTTTACTTAAAATTACGCTTACAGTCCCTTTAAGCAATACAAAGCTAGGTAATTATGAAGGATTAATTTCATAATTTATTTCTTCTTAAACTTATACCTGTAGGCATCTTCTTCAACTCCTGCTTTATTCCCCTTAGTTCCGACTTTCTTGTGTAGTTTTATCAGATTATCTTCTACTGCTAGATCTAGTAGTCGTTGTGTAGTCTCTTTATCTAGTTTATAATTCCTAAACATTATGATATTATTTTATTATTTATTTCGTGAACGTACACAATATAAAAAATTGGTACAAATTAAAACAGACAAAAAATAAATTTATAAGAGTAAATATCAAAAATAAATCCAAATACAAGAATCTAAATCATACTATAATTAGGTCTCGCATACAAAATTAATAATATCGTCAAGCTCAGCTTGGTCAACTCCATTGATAACAATCTTATCGTTTATTTTTGAAGAAATTAGTTCATTTAAAAATGGAATCCTCCATTCTTCTTCCACGGGTATTTCTTGAAATATCATACAATTTTTTACAATACGTTTGTCGATAATATTCAAATCTTTGATGCATTTGTCTGCAATATTTCTCAGATTTTTTGCAGTTACTGACCTAGCTTTGATCAAATTTTAAAAGATTTATCAAAAGTCTGATACAAATTTTTGACGTATTTTCTAATGAAGAAATGAATGAAACAAACCTACTGCAGAGCATGGTCATTAAATGAGAGGACTGTGACAGTGGTTCAATAAAATATTTATTACAAGTGTTTCGTAATTTAAACAATTCTAACTGCAATGTTCCAAGACGAATAAATTTTAGCAATAAACTGTCCACGTTTCTGATTTATATCACGAGTAAATGAATTAAACCCAATATGTGTGGAAAACAGAGAATAAGAATAAAAGGAAGGGAAATGGCGCTGGTCTGGCATGAGAAAGCTAGTCGCACTGCTTTGCAGACGAGTTCGTATTAACACACGCACACTCTTTTGGTGCAGACACACAACATGACTACAGTCAAGGAAATTGCAGAACAATGTCGTCAATTATAATTAAGCTTGAATAACGAGAAGTTTATTTGTAAACTTTAATCAAATTATATTCTTAGCATGAAAATTTGGCTTTTAGTGTTGACTTAAATATATAATTAATATAATACATTACATGTATATTAAACAAATCTACAATATGAGTGTATAAAATTATCATCTTTGCCTCTCCTAGACGTAATTTTGAAATCCACAAACACAAATCAACTTTACACAAACCCCTTGTTACCTGTTCATGTATCTAGAGAGCCGAGGGAGGGCGGGAATCTGTTTCTGAGCTCGCACCGTTTTTATTCCATCCCAGATAATCTGAGCTTTGTCTGGGTCAGATACTCGTCGTATTTCCTGGGACACACGGAACACATCCTTGATATCAACAAATCATTTAACTTGAACCAATCCAAAGTTTAGAAACAAGTTTTAATAATAGGGATTCTTTTCTATCCGAATACTTTGATATTTTGTAGAAAAAAAAGAAAAAGATTCTGTACCATAAATATTTCACACCCGTTCAGCAAAAAGAACTTGGAACTTTTGTCCTTTTGTCCGAAAAAAGAGAGAGATAAAGCCGGAAACATGGTGAAATACAAATCTTTCGAGGTGCCTCGACAATCCTGAAGGTTTTGGGGTCAAAAAATACAATTTTGGCGTCAAAAAATACAATTTTGGCGTCAAAAAATACAATTTTGGCGTCAAAAAATTTCTTGAAATCTACCAAAGATAACAGAAAAATTTGCAAAATTTCTTACAAAAATGGGGTCTGTCCTAGTGAACGATTTTTGGACCCCCCGAGGAAAATGAGGATATGAAAAGAAAAAAGGGTTTAGAGAAGGAAAATTCAGTATATAAAAAAAACAGGATGTACAGAAGGAAAAATAAGGATATAATTCAGAGCAGGAAAATTAAGTTATTAAGTAGGAAAAAAGTTCTTTTTAATAATATATACATTATAGTAAGCCCCTAGATCTACCTTAAGACNCCCATGTCCAAATTGATAGAAGGGGGGGGATGTCCAAAAATCGTTCTCTAGGAATATACCCAAAAATGTTAGCAGTCAAAGAAATAGAAAAGCGCAGTAACCTCTGCACTTTTTATTTTCCGTTCACTTGGAATCTATGAAAAATTATTGGTTTAGAAGATTTATGATGCGTAATCCTGCCTTTAGCACCCCTCCCAGCTGTGTTACATCCATACTGTACATCTAGTAGTCGCTCAAGATCCTGATTTCACAATTCCTAGTCACGAGGAGCTCAGAGCAGTTCTTGGTTTCACGAAGGCTTAAGAGAGCAGTATTTAGTTTCACAAAGGAGCTCGCAAAGCAGTTCCTGGAATCCCGGGAAGCTCACAGAGCAGTTTCTGCTGATTTCACAACGAGCTCAAAGCAGCTCCTAGTTTCACTAGGACCTCAGAGAAGTTCCTGGCTTCATAAATATTTCACTGTTCCTAGTTTTAACAGTATAATCGTGTACATTTTGACCGGGAGATGATGATAGCAATGTAAATCTTACATTTTGATATCTGAAATATCTGCATAGTTTTAACATTATACATATATTCAAAGAAAAATTTATTTTATCGAGTATATCATTAAATTTGACATATTGCTGAAGAAAAAAAAGGGTCTGTCCTATTGTACGATTTTTGGACCCCCCCCCCTATCAATTTTGTACATGACCTAGATTTCAACTGTTTTCAACCAAAAAAAAATATTTGTTTTGAATTATTTCAGGGTCAGGTTTGATTAGAACAATTACTTGGCCTAGATCTGCGGCTAGGACAGACCAGGGGGCCGAGCGCTGTGGCTAGGATAGTCTAGGGCACAGGGCGCTGCGGCCACAAGAACAACTTGGTCCATGTGTCTTTCTTAAAACTACCTAAAAATCGATAATAAATGAAACTGATAGGAGGGCGGGGGTTCAAAAATCGTAAACTAGAAATCTAAAAACAAAAATTTAATTTGTTTCTCTAAACAATGTACACCATTCACACCATAGGCTCAGATTCGTCAGATTGAATGTAATTCTGTGTAAAAAATCCGTTATAATTCAACAACATTAAAAATAGATTAGTTATGCCAAAAAATAATTTAATAGTGCAGCATAAACTATTTCACATTATTATTTTCGTACTTTTGTTAATCAATCTCTTTGTAAAAGAGGGATTAGAAAGATTTAAATTCGCTTTTATTTTCATTGTTTGGACGAGGTTTTGTGATTAATGTAAACATGGAGGGAATTTTTTTTAAGAATGCCGCAAAATGTTACAAGAAAGGTCGTCGTTGCTAAACATTTGATTCGAATGATGGAGTATTTTTGGACCTACGCCCATCCCCTCTACTGCCCATCCGACCTACAAGCACGTGGTTTTAACAGCTGTGGTAGGTCCGATGCACTGTAGGTCGGATGGGCACGTTAAAAACAGCATAATGGTGCATCCGACCTACTTTAAGCTGTCGCTTGGACACGTTAGTAGGTCTGATGGGCCTTTCCCATCCGACCTACGAAAAATGCCCATCCGACCTACGAATAATGCCCATCCGACCTACGAAAAATGTGCCCATCCGACCTACGAAAAATGCCCATCCGACCTATGAAAAAGGCCCATCAGACCTACTAACGTGTCCAAGCGACAGCTTAAAGTAGGTCGGATGCACCAATATGCTGTTTTTAACGTGCCCATCCGACCTACAGTGCATCGGACCTACCACAGCTGTTAAAACCACGTACTTGTAGGTCGGATGGGCAGTAGAGGGGATGGGCGTAGGTCCAAAAATACACCATCATAGAATTGATTTGGATATCCTATAGATACTACTCAGTTCGCAGAAAAGGATAATTATAGTTAAACTACCTGTGCCGTTAACGAAATTTGACAAATTGTTAATGTTATTTTTTTTACGGCACTTCGTGCACTCTACACTGTAAGAAGGGTTTCCAGCAAAGAAAGCTTTTTGGAAAAAATGCAAAAATTTTCTTTCGTAATTTGCCAACATTTTGACGAAATTTATAATTTTTTCGAGAAAATTAATAAAGCAAAAATATGCGAAAATACTTTTTGCAAAATTTCGCACAAAAAATTCCGCGAAATTGTTGCAACAGTTATAATTGTGCAATAAAATTTTTTGCTCTGAGCGCTCAGCAAATTAGAAGTTTTATCATATTATAATTAATAAGTTTTTTCATTTTTTCCTTCTGAAATTTTCGCATATCTTATTTTGCAAAAAAATTTTGCATTTCTTATTTCACATAAATTTCTAATTTTTTCGCGAAGCAGTATTTATAAGCAAAATTTCGCGAAAAAAGCAAAGGAAATGCGAAAAAATGCAAAATTTTCAGCAGCCATTAATGTTTTTTTTTGTCCAGTAACAAATTTTTTGTTCAGCACTTAACGTTTTTAATAATGTAATATACCATTAACAGCTGGAGCCATTAATGCTTGTTAACTAACATTTATTTTTAAAAAACCCCGTAAATGCTGTTAACGAAACGAACATTCCTTTCTTACCTTTGAAATTATAATGGCTTCCTGAAATTTTTCTTTTTTAATGGTTGGAACTAACCATTAACCAAACAGCCAGAAAACGTTGGAACGTGCCCAGTCCTAGACTTCTCCATTTTTTTGGGTATTTCAGGACATTTTTTCAATTCTATTTTCTTTGTGTCTTTCTACCCTTCATGCTATTATTTCATATCATGAGTTTCCTGAGGGGGGGGGGGCCTTGGGTCCAGGCCCCCTCTGTTATCATCCCCTGCTTATCATATTTCTTGTTATTTATAGGTTGTCAGGTTTTGTGTAACCTTAAATGATAAATGTATTGTAATACTAATGAGAAGTGACATATATATATATACGTTTTTTTGCGAGAATAAATTAAGAATGACTAACTTTCTTTAAGTCAAAAAACGAGAAATCGATGCGGGAAGCGCCAAAGAAAAATTTTGGTATTTTTTCTTAATTGGCAAAATTTAATATAAGATGGTCCACAATCATGATAAAGCTACTAGCTAGTGCCAAGTTAGGGGAGTGGGGGGGGGGGCGTAATTGGCTGAAGGGGGGTGAACAATATAAACTTATATATTTCCATTTATACGCTGTGATCATGCCAAAATGTGGGGGGGGGTCATAGTGTAGAACTTGTAGAAAGATTGTTTGTTAATAACTTAATTTGCAGTTTGTATAACCACAGATATCCAATATTTTGATATTTGAAGATAAGAAAACCACCTGCCTTGATAAATATATGGATTTTTTACTCATCAGTATATCAAGTTATCAACTATGAGGATGGGCGGGGGAAATATTAATTATAGTTCTTTAATGACCATGATTACAATGTCAAATCTGATCACCTATCTATTGTAAAGTAAACAACCAAAAATAACAGTTTTTGATCAAAAATAAAGTTTCATTTTTATAAAATTGTTAAAAAACTAGTTTTTCACATATTTATAACAAAGAAAAGTCGAAAAAGGCTAAAAAATTATTGACTTTTTTTAAATGGTTGAATTTTTATTTATATGTTATTATTAAGATATATTTTTACATGTAGAATTGGCGGTATAGTTTCCCTTTACAGAAATATCCGCAGCAGTTTCTTTAAACAAATTACAAAATCGACATTAAATAAATCAGTGCTAAGGATACGGATCCGATTCCGTTGGATCAGCAACATTTTGGCTTTCTGGATCTGTTGCTCTCCAAACCCAAATCTAAACAGTTGGAAAAAGAGAAATATAGTTTTAGCATAAAAATATCCGAAAAATTTATTTTAAAATTAGTTTTCTGTTTCACAAATCATGTAAATCTGAAAGAAATGTTTATGACCTGGATCCATTTTTTCCAGATCCGCATCAAAATCGATTGGATCCTTAGCACTGAAATATATTTTCTTCATGGTTTGCTGATACACGGTTTCAATGGTTTTAAACTTACCGATAACATTCTTCAATCTATATACAAATATACTTTGCTTGTCTGTCTGTCTCCTTATTTGTGTCCAATAAATGTCAAAACGGCTAATCAATCAGGTCCAAATTTTGTGTGGGACCTCATATGACCCCAAGGCCGAAGGTCAGAATTGATTGCTATTGTCTATATTGACATCGATAGCTAACCAGCTCGCGCCATGTATAGTGGCGTTGAATATAGTCATGGGATTGTAGACGTGTGGATCATGTCCTGTTTGGCTTTGATAGCAGACAGATTGAACCTGGATAGATACATCTTGAGAAATTGATATGGAGTAGGTGTTTACTACATCCTTGTCTGCCTGTTTGTTTGTATCCAATTGTATCAAAACTGTTGAACCTATCGAGCCAACTTTTTTTGCGGGACCTCGCCTGACCCCATGGAAAGTTTATGGATGGTCAAATGTTCAAAAATTTGTCTCTAACATAATTTGATTTTGAAAATTTTGAAAATCCACTATTTTAAAAAAAAATTCGCGAAATTTTTGCCTGTTTTTGTTTTAATGTAAGCAGAGAGAACATGCACAAAGCACAATTGAAATAGAAGATCGGGCGCGAAGCGCCCTAAAAGCCTACTAACAAATATTTTAGAACAGATATAATGAAAAAAGTTTAAATTGAAAAAAAATCTCTTCGAAGTCATGGGCTGTGGACTTTCAAAAAAGCATCAGTAAGTTTTTACAAAAAATATTTAGAATTAAAAGTTATTTATTGATAACCAGGTTTACCCACAAAAGATGAGACTGTAAAGACGACCGGAAACTCTTAAAATGTGATGATTCAGAGGTTGAGTCATTTTTTTCTGTCATAGATATATTTATCTAATGGCTTGTTAAATGATTCGGCAAAGAAACAAACAAGTTTACAGTTGCAGGGAATCGTAAAACTTAGGGAAACAGACAATCATCTCTGACCTCTCATCCTTTCTGGGTAACCCTGTACATTGTTAATGAAAGATTCAAACTATACAAAAAGAAGACATTAGATGTAATATGCTGCAATTATTAGACGTTACTGGTAGGGCTTTGTGACCTGGTAGTTTCTCTAGTTTTAATTTTACGCACAAGAAAGAAATTTAAAATCTTTTTCTTCTTCTCAAATAGCTTTTCCATAAAATTGAAAATATTTAAAATTTTAGTCTAATGTGCAATTTTCTTAAGTTTGACTAAAGGATGGGGGGGGGGGGGGACAGGTTTTGACATTTTATAAAGAAAATTAAATACATTTTGTTAAAGGTTAACTACGACGGATTTGGATTGGTTAGAAACACACACTAAACATGATAAATCTTCTCTTATTGAGATGTTTAAAGGTAACAGATTGAATCTAAAATTATTTGTTCTGAATAAGTCTAAAAATCACTTTCTTTAATTTGTCAAATAATTTTATTGGTTTGTGCAAGAATAGGGAAGGGCTAGCAACCAGCGACGTCGCGCGACCAGTCCTATTTGGTCGAGATATGTCAGGTTAGGTTGGGATTACGTCGAATTGCCAAAAATGGTCGGAACTTGATCAGTCCTCCTAGGTTGAGTTATGTCAGGTTAGGTTAGGTTAGGTTAGGTTAGGTTAGGTTATCCTGATCAGTCCTCCTAGGTTGAGTTATGTCAGGTTAGGTTAGGTTGAGTTATGTCAGGTTAGGTCGGGTTATCCTGACCAGTCCACTTAGGTTGGATTTGATCGATATTGGATGGGTTACGTTAAGATAAAAAGAACGTTTTTGTGTTAAAACATGATTTAACAAAATAACACGTTTTACAAAGACGACTTTCTCTCTCAGACAAACCGGTTCCTAGATGATCCTAGACTCTTAAAATAAATCACGGGGATTTCATGGGGAAGTAGGGAAAACGTATCAAACGTTTAAAATAAGTTATATTTTGAAAATAGTCAATTTTAAAATAAGTTTTAATAAAAATTTAAGATTTCTACAATTAACTATTAGATACTACAGTTTAATTTGATATTTAAAACCTTTAAAAATCCATGACTATGACAAAAAGCATCAAATAGTGTAAATAGCTTCATACCTTTGCGCTGGAATTCTGACATGGTAAATCAGATTTTTCTCAGGTCACAGTTGTCTTTGAAAAGTAAGACTAATACTAATGAATAGCTCATATGGCTATTAAGTTTACTCTCAAATTACCCAAATGTGAACGGTCCGGCCCTTTAAGCCAATTTGTTTCTTGGCTTATGTGTTTCCTAAAACAATTCAGTCAAGCCTTAGGGCTGGCTATTAACATAGACATACAGGGTGTCCCACGAAACAGCTGGTAAATAGTTTAGAATGTCTTCTTCCATAATTTGTAAAGTTGATTAATAACAAAGACAATATTAAAAATAGGAGTCATATTTTTGTAAAATTAACTTCAAAGTAGAATATATTTGAGCAAAAGATTTTTTAACGAAATAAACTGCAAACAGCCTTTAATATCTAATACAGGGTAAAGAAGACGACATTGAAAACTATTTACCAACTGTCACGTGGGACATTTTGTATATATGAGCAAAGAGCTAAATTATTATATAGATTGATAATGTTTATTTTAGGTTACAAGAATGATTTCCCCCAGGGCGGGATATCTCGGGATCAGTTCCAACATTTCTTTCCAGACTTAGGATAATACTTTTTTTTTTTTTTGTCAAGCGAAAAAAAAGAAGAAATTGAACAATTTTTCATTTTTAATTTTGGGATAAACAATGAGTTAAACTCATTCTCTTTTCACGAGCCACATAGATCCAGACTGCCACATAGATCCAGACTGCCACATAGATCCAGACTGCCACATAGATCCACACTGCCACATAGATCCAGCCTGCCACATAGATCCAGACTGCCACATAGATCCAGACTGCCACATAGATCCAGACTGCCACACAGATCCGGACTGCGATTTTTCGAAACTTGGTTGACAGTGAAGTGTCACAACGTATTGGCTCTTAATTTTACCTCACTTACTTACTTTGACGTTTGTGTAGCCCTAGACATGTACATTTTAAAGATCTCTGAAACGTTTGTTTTTAGCTGTAGTTTTAATGAAATAATTAGCAAAACTCTAATCGAGTTTTTCAACCCCTGGATCAATGTGGGTCGGAATGCCGAATGACCTTTTTACCCTTGTTGTTCAAAACTTTAGTGATTTGAAAAATGGCTAATTAGTAAAGGATTAGTAAAGGATTAGTAAAGGATTAGTAAAGGATTAGTAAAGGATTAGTAAAGGATTAGTAAAGAATTAGTAAAGGATTAGTAAAGGATTAGTAAAGGATAACCGATCTGTCAATGATAAAAAATTGGATTTAACTAATTGGAGGGAATAAGTTAAACTCAATTCGTCGTTCAAAAGTAGGGTTTCCAATCGGAATTGATTGCTACCGCTTGCGCCATTTTATTGCGCGGGATTGCGCTATAATTGCGAACAAAGAAGCAATAAAATATTCGCGGAATTGTGCAGAATTGCGCGAAATTGCGCGGAATTGCGTGCATCAGAATTGCTTTGCAATGGAAATGGATGGAATGTTATCTCAGTAGATTTAAAAATAATTGATGGTCATTTGATATTTTTCAATATTTTCAAAATTCTAAAGTTTCATGATAAATTTTTTGGTTAAAATTGTAAGATTCATTTAATCAAAATTAGATATTTTAAGTGTCTTAGATGTCGTTACAAAGCAAATTTTTTTTTATCGCAAATCACTTATTATGTTAAATCAGACCCAGAGTCTAAAAGTCGTCTTCCTATGCCATAGTTTTCTGGTTACCATGCTGTATATGAATATCATAAATAAAAAATAATGCTTGAATTCAATTTTCGTATCGTTTGAGACTGAAATGTTAGTGAAGTTCAGTTTATTGTATGATGCCACTAACAAAGTTAAAAAAATTGTTTTTAATCAATGTTGTTGAACGGAATTGAGCAATAATAATTGCATTTATTGGGTTCCATTTGGTTTAAATTGAATATTCTCAACAAATTGAAACACAAATACACAAGAAAGTTGAATGGAATTGCGCGCTATAGCGCGAAATTGTGGGCAAGTAAAATCCCCTTGCGATGGAAACCCTATTCAAAATATGTATTTGAAGGGTAAAAACAAACAAGGAGAAGAAAAAAAATTTAGTCATTTAAAAAAAGGATTTTTTTTCCAGATAAAGGAGCCAAAACAGGAAACCTCGTTTTCAGGTCAGTCGGGATAATGAAGTAGTCAGTCAGGATAGTAAAGTAGTCAGTCGGGATAATGAAGTAGTCAGTCAGGATAGTAAAGTACTCAGTCGATACAATAAAGTAGACACTCAAGACGATACAATAATCAGTTAAGACAATAAGTAGTCAGTCGAGACAATAAAGTAATCAGTTGAGACAATAGAATAGTCAGTCGAGACACTAAAATAGTCAGTCGAGACAATAAAATAGTCAGTCGAGACAATAAAGAAGTCAGTCGATACAATAAAGTAGTCAGTCGACACAATAAAGAAGTCAGTCGATACAATAAAGTAGTCAGTTGATTCAATAAAGTAGTCAGTCAAGAAAATAAAGTGGTCAGTCGAGACAAAAAAAGTAGCCAGTCAAGACAATAAAGTAGTCAACCAGGAAAATAAAGTGGCCAGTCGAGACAATAAAGTATTCAGTCAAGACAATAAAGTAGTCAGCCGGGATAATAAAGTAGTCAGCCGGGATAATAAAGTAGTCAACCAGGAAAATAAAGTGGCCAGTCGAGACAATAAAGTATTCAGTCGAGACAATAGAATAGTAAGTCGAGACAATAAAGTAGTCAAGTCAAGAAAGTCAAGTCAAGTGTCGATGTTCAGTCAATCTGACAAAATTTGTTTTAAAAATTGATATTGATCGGGATTTGTGATGAGGAAGAAAGGTTCAAAATTGTTCTTTAAAAATCCAGAAAGGAGTGAACTTCAGAGAAGTCATACATGCGAGTCTCAAATAATTTATTTAATAATTGAAATCTCTTTGCGGGGTTAACTCTGAATCAGAATTTTTGAATTTGTTTACGATTAAACTTGTCTTTACTCTTACATTTAGTACATATAATTTAGCATTGTTTTGTTATGTCTGATGCCCTGCAAATATACAGATGATAAGAATTTTTGCACACTTCATACCTTTCAAACTTCGTTTCAAACCTTTTCGTGAAACCATGAAGAATTAGTTCACGATTGACAAAAAGAACCATTTTGCCAAAAAATATTGGGTTTTTTAAAATAGTCTTTTTTAGAGTTTTAGATGAAGATAAAAGTGGATTTCTAAATTTTAGAGAATTCCTTCAGGCAATTGATCTTGTGGGCGCAAAGTAAGTTTTTTCTAAATAAATTGAAGAAAAAAATATTGATAATTTGTATAAATTATAATTACTCCCTTCTGGTTTCCAATTTTGTCCTGCTCTTTCATGACTGAAATGCCTTCCTGAACATTTCCTTAATGGGAGTGTTTCGCGAAAAATGAAAGTGGGTATATGCTGATATCCTGATATCGAATTGAATTCGATAATGATCGCTACTAATTCTGTTGAGTCTATAAGGATAAAACGGAAAAATTCACGGAGTTCCATTATTCCGCTCAGAAAGTAAATAATTAAATTAAACTTAAACTTGAAACTACTAATTCAGATATTACAACCTATAATTGTCGATATATAGTTGATATTTCATAATATTTTTTATTTATAAGATCAGAGTGTTACTTCTGAAAATATTCATTGCTGAAATTTCGAGAATTTTTTTATGTCATCTTAATCATATATCATCATAGATTTGTTTAATACAGATTTTAGGTATAAAATCATCAAAATGTGATGGAAAAAAATTTAAAATATTTTTGTTTAATTAAAAAAACCTGCGTTTCGAAAGAATTAAATTTCTTAAAAAACTGAAGAAAAAATGTTTTTCTATTGTTTTCCAGGATTTCAAAAAATAAATATTTATTATTCATTTTTTCGAAAAAATTTGGTTTTGCGTATTTTTTTTCAAATGTTCTAAAAAAAATTTGCTGACATTTTATTTTATTTATGCTTAAAACCCAAAGCAAACTAAATTCATGAAGAATTTGTCAAAAATATGGATAATCCCCCTGTTAATTTAATCAACCTTTGCATTTGATAGAAAATATTACAGAACAGCTGAGGATAAACTACGCTGGGCGTTTAAGATGTATGATGAAGATAATTCAAGAATGATTGATTTAAAGGAGATGATTAATGTAATGGAGGTAAAAATACCATATTCAATTTTTTTAAAGTTTCAAATCTTTAATACATCTATGTAATGTTGAATATATATATAGAGCTATGTTTAGTATATCTTTCTAATGTTGGATATATATATAGAACTATGTTTAGTATATCTATGTAATGTTGGATATATATAATATAGAACTTTGTTCAGTATATCTTTCTAATGTTGGATATCTATATAGAACTATGTTCAGTATATCTATGTAATGTTGGATATATATATAGAACTGTGTTTAGTATATCTATGTAATGTTGGATATATATAGAACTATGTTCAGTATATCTATGTAATGTTGGATGGTGCAGGGTTAAGACCTGAAAACGACGACCCAGCTGAAAGAGCCCGATGTGTGTTTGTGTAAGTTTTATTATTTACTAATTCACGATGCTTCTTGACGAGCTTGATTTTTATTGTATCACCATCAAATCTAAATACCACACTGAACTAGACAGCTGGAGATGGTAGAATTTATGCAACTTTAAAATTTTGTAATTCCTCTAGTTCTTATTTTACACATAACAAGTATGAAAAAGGGAATTTATCTGGTTAAATAAGTGAATTTAAAACATTTTTGTTCTTTACAATAGCTCTCCAATAAAATGAGCTATGATTGAAAAAATTTAAGATTTTAAACCAACGTAAAATTTATGTTAGTTTGACATGGTAGGCCAATTTTCTTTATCTTTTAAAGATATTTTTACACGGTTCAAATCATTCGTAAATTATATATAATAAATTGTTGTTATTGAGATGAATATTCTTACTATTATTATTATTATTATAATTATTATTATTATTATTATTATTATNCCTACTCGCCATAAATTCAAACCCTTTAACCGCTGGAAATAAATAAGTATTTAAATAAGTATGTAATAATGTGGGATAGAAGATTATAATATTACCAATTTAGTAAGAACATATTTTTCTTAAATAAAACCTCCAACATTTAAAAAAATTTTTTGTTAAAGCTTGTTTTTATTAAATTTTAGCTATAATGTTTTTTTGTGAGAAAAAGAAAAACTGATCAAAACTGACACGATCGATATTTTTGCATGAATTTTTGCATGTATTTTTGCATATATTTTTGCATATATTTTTGCATATATTTTTGGATGTATTTTCTTTCCAGATCAAATTTTGGCCTACTGTAAAAAAGTAAATGTTTAGAAAAAACAATTTTAGAACATTTCGTTTTCTTTAACATATGACGAATTTGACGCTGAGAGAAAAAATATACAAAAAACTACACCAGAGCCCGTTCTCTCTCTAATAATGTATGAACAGTGGTCGTACTTTTGAGGACGATATTTTGGCCGCCAGATGTCTCACGCTAAATTCTTATCTGATGACAGATAATTCATATGACCACAATTGAGAGACGTCATGTGGTCGACCACTGTAATAAAGGAATGGCCTCACAGGCAGCACTGAGTTAATTTACATTCCACCCAGTAACTGCAATTGTGCATTTACGTTTTTTTGTAAACCCAGTCTAATATATGCGTTTTGACAATACGCAAATACATTTATTTCTGTATAAAACAATAAACATGCAGCAAACTTAAGTTTTGGAAGGAATTTACATTGTTTACATTTCCTCCGAAAACTGCAGTACACTATGTGCAGGGATGTAAGCGGGATACCTATCTCATGGATCTACTGGATCAGCTGTTTGTTATGATCACAGGTTATTTTTGTATTTTGTAATTGATCCATTCAAAAATCTCTATTTCGTATCTTTTTTAATCCCTTTGGAAATCTCTAATCCGTATTTTTCGTTAATCCCTTCAAAAATATGTAATCCGTTCCCTTGCAATCCTTTGGAAATCTCTAATCCGTATCTTTTGTTAATCCCTTCAAAAATATATAATCAGTTTCTTTGTAATCCCTTCATAAATATGTAATCCGTTTCCTTGTAATCCCTTCAGAAATCTCTAATCCGTATCTTTCGTTAATCCCTTCAAAAATATATAATCCATTTCCTTGTAATCCTTTCAGAAATCTCTAATCCGTATCTTTCGTTAATCCCTTCAAAAATATATAACCAGTTTCCTTGTAATCCCTTTAGAAATCTCTAATCCGTATCTTTCGTTAATCCCACAAAAATATATAATCCGTTTTATTTGTTGTCGCTTCCAACAGATTAATTACATTCCTTCTGTAAAGGTGAATCAGGAATTTCAAAAAAGAATCAGCTGTTTTTTTTGTGGATTAAAAACATAATCGCTTCAAATAAAAAGTTTTCACAGGGGAGCGTAGTAGAAAAGCACAAACTTAATAAGTTCTGACCTCCTCCTACTACGGTGAGAATTTAAAAACATGATTTTCTAAAGTTAATATTTGAAATCTGAATTAATTTGATTAATTGTATGATCCTGCTCAGTGTTCATCGAAATTTGTCTCCGTCTCTTGTATGCTTGGTACTTTGTCGTCGTCGTATTATTGGGCAGCCAGGACAAACAGGCAAACCAGGACAACAAGGGCAGCCAGGACAAACAGGCAAACCAGGACAACAAGGACAGGCAGGACAAGTAGGAAAACCAGGACAGCAAGTTAAACCCCAACAAGGAGATCAACAAAAACCAACAGGAAAAACAGGAAAAAATGGCGAACCAATAAACCTAACTAAAATGGAAATTATTAAACTTAAATTAAAAGAACTAAAAGAAAAGGAAAACTGAAAATATTGTAAATATTGTATAAAGAAATATATAATAAAAGTGTTTTGTTAAAATGCTACAGAAAAATAAGATTCATTATATGAATAAATAATTCTTACATTTATTTAGTGGCTTCCCAAACAACTGATTATTTTTTACAATCAGTGATATATGAAAACGATCAGAATACTAAAATTTCGTTAAAACTTTGCAAAATCAAAGGGACTGAAAGTGAAATTTTAAATGATCCTCTTTTTGAAAGATAGCATGTGCCTGATTTACAACGGTACCCTTGCATCTGATAAAAAATGTGTAACGTCATTTTTCTGACTCAGAAAATGTTCAATTCTGTAAATTTCTCTATTGATCCTTATAAGGAAGAATTGCTCAAGTCACTTTTGCAGAGAAACCACAAATTGTGATAAACAAAAACATTCATATCTATTTCAAGCTTGACCAGATTAAGAGTATCGTTGTAAATCGGGTATTCACTTGTTAAACTACTCTTTCAACTATAAACCTTTTACAAGATATGTATGTAGTGGGATTACTAACCAAAGAGAATAGAATGTATATTAGAGAGAAAGAACCTGTCAAATCATTCGTTGGGATGTTTAGAAAGATGAAAATTTCCCTGTATGATAATTGAAGGACTGCAGTATGGTTTTGGTGAATTATATTGGCGTACAAAGCCTACGGGTGTCAGAAATGATTTTTTTGCCATTTTTTTTAACAACTTCTATAAAACTTTAAAAAGTTTAATTTTTGATAAAACTTTTTGTTCTGGATGATTGCAAATATCTATCTAAAACTTTCTTAAACCGGCATATTTTTTCTATATTCATTTAGTTAAGAGTTTGAGTCAAAATAAGTATTAATAAATATTGCTTTTTATCGAGTAGATATCCTTAAACATACCGATGTAAAACCTTTCAGAAAGTTAGAAAGATTCTGCAAAAAAAAATGCCAAACCAAACAAAATTTTCATTTTGAAGAAAAATATTTAGAACTTAAAGAAGCTTTTCTGGGTTGCACTTTACTCTAGTTTTGCATTATTTTTATTTGTGTAAAACAGTATAAAAGACATTATGTTGATGGTTTAAAACTAAACAGCTGATGATTAATTGGAGGGAGGAATGGCAAAAACACCAGTTTGTAATTCGAAAATCTTTTAATGGAAACTGATTGTAACAGGGAATACAGAGTGCTTTAGGGTACAGGGTACTACAATGTTCTGCAAAGTACTGGGCTTTACTGGGGGGAGGGGGTACAGAAACCAAACAGAATTTTTTATTTTTAATAAAAAAAAGTAAGCACTTCTAAGGATATTTTCTTTATAGTTTTGCACTATTTTAACGGACAAAAAAGCTAGTTTAATACTAATCAGCTGACCACTTAATGGAGGGAGGGATGGCAACAACGCCAATTTGTAAACCCCATATCTGCAGGGTACTGTTGGGTACTGTTGGGTACTGCGGGGTACTTTGGGGTACTGTGGGGTGCTGTGGGGTGCTGTGGGGTACTGTGGGGTACTATGGGGCTATTGTGGGGTACTGTGGCTACTGCAGGTAACTGGAGGTTATTAAACTAGCTTTTTTGTCCATGAAAACAGTGCAAAACTATAAAGAAAACATCCTTAGAAGTGCTTAACTTAACTTCCATAAAAAGATTTGGGAATTACAAATTGGAGTTTTTACCATTCCTCCCTCCAATGAATCATCAGCTGTTTAGTTTTAAACCATCAACGGAACCTCTTTTATACTGTTATACACAAATTAAAAAAAATGCAAAACTAGAGTAAAGTGCAACCCAGAAAAGCTTCTATATAAGTTCTAAATATTTTTGTTCAAAATAAAAATTCTGTTTGGTTTGGCAACTTTTTTCTCCAGAATCTTTCCTACTTTCTGAAAGGTTTCACATCGATATGTTTAAGGATATCTACTCGATATAAAGCAATATTTATTAATATTTATTTTAACTCAAACTCTTAACTAAATGAATATAGAAAAAATATGCCGGTTTAAGAAAGTTTAAGATAGATATTTGTAATCATCCAGAACAAAATTTTTTATCAAAATTAAACTTTTTAGGTTTATTGAACGTTTTCAAAAAAAATGCAAAAAAATCATTTCTGACACCCCTAGGCTTAGTACGTCAATATGATTCACCAAAACCATACTGCAGTCCTTCAATTATCATACAGGGAAATTTTCATCTTTCTAAACATCCCAACGAAAGATTTGACAGGTTCTTTGCTAGAAAAAAGTGTAAAACGGCCATTTTGTTGTACTGTTTCCATACTTCACATATTTATGTTATATACCCTTTTGGGTCCTGGAATATCATTTTATAGAAAATCTAAAATTAATATTAAAAGAAAACCAAATTATGAAATAGGCTGGTTTCATGATTGACCAATGATCATTTCACATAGACTCTATGCCTTTCACTTTACAAACTATGATTTTCCGTTATTACTTTAAATCAAATGGTGTTTTTTATTCACTTAATTAATTATAAAGTTTATTTAACAGCTTTAAAAAATTCGAAATTGAAATGGATAGTCCAGGGAACATACTGTATTAATGTACTCTACTGCATATAATTTGTGAACATTTACATGATTTGTACACTTTGAACTCCCTTTCAGACTGAAAGGGACTGAAAAAATTCATACCGAGAGATTCTCAAAATTCCCCTCTACTATATATTCTATTCTCTATGGCTGCAGCCCAAGCGTTTACAAAATCCAATTGATTGTACATTCAATGCTAATCAGACTGTTGTTAGTTATCCTTAATTTTGATCTTAAACGTGCCAGTAACCATTATTTAATTATTTTCTTTTTGTACTAAACACAAATGACTTACTAAATTTAGTTTAAAAAATGCCAAACCATTTTGATTTTTTTATTTAGCTTATAGATAAATGGAAAGGCTTTTTAGCCTCTCCCATAATTGGCAAAGACAGCATAATGTATTTGTTTTCAATATTTTTCGTATTTTCACTTCTCAATTTATCTTTTGATTATACTTCTCCCTCTCCTCCCCCTCCTCCAAGTTGCAGGAAGATTTGGGTTGTCCAGCCATGTCTACTGTTTTCCTATGTCTAGATCTCCGCTTCTTAATTAACTGTATTTTATTGCACTAATGAGAAAACGAAACTTTCAAGGTCCAACAAAGGTTTGTTATTCTTTTTTAAAATCTTTCTTTCTTATTCTTTTTTTATTCGAAAAAAGTCAAGGACATTAAACATGTTGAATTATACGAAACGTACCAATTACACCTTTTTCTCCCCATCGTATGACTTTAAGTTTAAAGCTCTAGATTGAAACAATTTCATAAAAAAAGAATTACCCTTTCAAAATCTTGTTCCTGAGACGAATGTATTAATTGACGAAATATAAAATTGACAAAATGAAAATTGCCCAAATGCAGTAATTGACCCATCCTTCGAACTCAACAAGGACTTGGTGGTCTCGTGGAATCTCGGGATTGGAGATTCTTCTGGTATAGTTCACAACTGTCTAGGAAGACTCTTGGGACTAGAGATGTCAACGATAGTGTAACGTAACGTAAAATGTACGTTTTTGTACGTTACGTTACAATAATGTGTAACGTTTGGATATATTCTATATAACGTGAACGTTAAACGTTAACGTTATAGGAGCTCATACCTAACGTTAACGTTAAACAATAACGTTAGAGGAATATACCCCCAACGTTAGCGTTTTGTGGAAATGTAACGCTATTTTTTTAATATCTACAACTTTTTGACCATAATGTACAGAAATGTTTTGTTTTCAAAGGGAGCTCGAAAGTCTAACGTTTGAAAAATGATTTGTGATTTGATTGAATATCGTAACGAAAGGATTTCTATTTCAAAGTTCAACTTTTAAAAAGTGTAACGTTATATAACTGAAAAATGCATTATTGTTTATGAAAACGTTTTGAAACGTTTTTCCTTATAGTATAATGAAAAATTCAACGTTGCAGAAATGGGTTATTATTTTAATAATCAGGAAATGAAAGTTTTTTTACAGAGTAAAATTTCAATAATGTAACTTATAACTTTAAAAAAATGTAATTCTGTAAATAAAATCATTTCATAACTTTTCTCTGAATACTAAATTGATTAGTCTAACGTTGGATATATGAAAATGTTGTTCATAAAACGTTAGACTATGAGGGCTGAGTTTTAATTTCAAAAGCGTAACAATAATTCTGTCAATCAAAACATTTCAAAATGTCTCTAATATATCGATGTAAGAGATTCGACTGATGATTATAAGAGCAAAGACTTATGGTTTTTCATTTCAAGTTTAAAGAAAATGAGTTTATGTCAAAAACTCTTTGCAACCTGATTTCGTAGACCATTAATATTGAAATATACAAGGTTTAAACCATCGGGTTAGAAAGATATAGTGATTAGTAAATTTGAAAAAAAAACTTAGTTCCTTTCTAATGTGTAAACGAGTTTTTTTTGTAACATGCTATTAGTGAAAATTCAAATCTTATAAATGTTTCTTGAACATTAAAGGTTTTGATTTGCCATTGTTTGATGAAACCCACTAAAACTCTGGAAAAGGAATACGACATTAAGAAATTTTTCATATGCATTTTCTGTTTTAAAGAAAATGATTTACTAATTGCAAACAAATCAACTTATTAAGTGGAACGGGTCTGTGAACAAACACAATTGCTGTGTTTCATGTTTATTTGACTACTTGAAATCATAACTTCAGCTGGCATGGTTCATGTTTTAGGTTGAAAAATTTGGAAATGTAGATACTTTCTAAAATGCAACAATATTTTATCAAATGGAAAATGCATGTTATGTTTTATTCATCAATAGATTGTTATGAAACTTTAGAATAGAAAAAAAAAAAATTTAGCACTTGTCTTTCTATATTTTATATCTTTAACCCCAAACAAGAACTCTGAAAACTTTTTCATTTTGGTTTGAAAACTAAAGCTAATGCCGCTTTTTTACTCACTTTGTAAGTAACTTAAAAAAAAACACAAAAAGAACTAAAAATTCGCCACAAATTATAATCTTTGCAAGCTGGTGTTGTAGACTTTTGATATTTCAAGCTATGATTTCTGTTGGATAAGAATGACTAAAGGAATTGAGTTGTTCACAAACTTATATTTCTAATCCCTATATCTTTGCTACCCAATGTTGTAGACCTTAGATATTTTAAACTATGAATTCTGTTAGATGGAAGAAAAGGGTCAGTCTGCATTGCGTAAAAAAAGAAAAAATTAACCCTAAACTAATCTAAAATAATTTAGAACTACTGCTCCACATACAAAAGTGGTTTGCCTTGCCGAATTTTAACTCATTTTAACATCGAATTTCCAAGAAAATGATGTATAACATGAAAATAAAAAATAAAGAAATTTTTTGTGGCCTTACGGTGAATTCTCCGATATTAAATCGTCAAATTGCAACCCTATGGACGAATTTGAATTTTTTTATTGCAATATTTTTTTTAAGTGAAAGCGCAGCGATTTCCGGTGGGCGGTTGGCTCTATTCCAATATTGATCACCCCTACTGGACAATGGACATGCCACTCCATAAATGGAAGGTCACTTGAAATTACGTCTCTAGTCCCTTTAAGACACACTTTGAGTTGAAAGTCTAATGCTAAAAACTTTCATTTACAACTTTTAAAAATCGTTAAACATAGTAATATTATAACATCTTTATATTGCATAATGCATATTCTTCTACACATTCTCCAAAAAGGTTAAAAATACAACAGCAACATACAGGGTGAGTAAAAATATGTAATTATCACGGAAAAAATCTTTCAATGCTTTCATTTAGAAGCAATATTATTTTAATAAAGTGTAACGTTAGAAACATTAAGGCTTGAACATTTTAATACAACGCAACGTATAGAACATTTTTTCAAATCTATCTTAGAAACGAAACGAATAAACAGTTTTGATTGTCAGTTGTAAAATAGTTAACAAAAAAGTTTTCACAATAACGTTTCGATAAATCGTAACAAAAGAAAAGGTGCATTTTAGTAAAATTTCTAAACGTAATTAAAAGAGTTTATATTAGAAAAGTTAAGATAAAACGTAACGTTAACAAAAAAAATATTCTTTGCACTGAAATGCATTGTAAAGTACAGAACTATGCCCCAATGACGTTTTATTGAAGCAAAACGTTTGTCATCTTTTAGATTTTAAACCAAGTGAAAGTGTAACGTAAGGTCTCTGAAAATATTTACCTTGCACGAAAGTGGAACATTAAAAAATTGTGGTTATATTACATAAGCTTTAACGCAACGTTGGGAAAGTTTTTAAAACATCAAATGCAAAAGCGTAACGTTGCTTACTGTTTTTTCAATAAGATTTACTAAAGCTTAACGTTATATAAAGTATTCAAGTGCAGAAAATTCATTACGTAACGTTACTCTATACCATAAAATTTTACAATGTGCAACGTAACGTTTCAAACGTTAATACTTTTGATGAACACTATCGTAACGAAAGCTAAAATCTAGAAAAATCAAAACGTTGACATCACTACTTGGGACCTCAGACAAGATTGCTGGATTTCCGGGGCCCGGAATCGGATTGAGAGAGAAAAATAAATTAGAATTATTGCTAACAAATGAAAATGTTTTAAATCTGAAATTTCGCCCTTTGAATTGAGGCCCACTTGAAATGACGTCTACGGTCAACTTATTTTTCAGAAATCCCCCAGATTCGTTGGTTGGAGGACTAAACACAGAAGATATTTCTCTAAATTGGGAAATTTCCTACATCCTCGTTTTCTTTCCAACCTTATTTCATTTTAAGAATAAAACTTTCTCTTTTGATAAACTTTGCTTATTTCACTTTATCCTACAGGCTACAACTGCTTCCCTAGCTCTATCTTAAAATCTTGGATGACCGAATTTTCTTTTTTTATATTTCACTACAACTGATAATTAAATAAAATACGTCTATAATATTACGTAAATTGTAATTTGTCAATTTTGTATAGAATTACAGTACACATTTGAATAAGTATAACTTTAATCATTATTTAAACTGTAAACGTAATTTCGCTAAAAATGGAAATGCTCGATGAACAACGATACCCACAAAAACTTTGTCCGATTAAGTAAGAATTAGAACTACATTTTTAGATTTTTTTTGTGTCCCTGGAAAGGTTGCTTGCGTATTTCTTGTTTTTAAGAAACAATGTAGAAATAATCAGAAATAAATACTTTCAAATTAAAAAATACTTTAGATCAGTTTCAGGTTATAAGAATATCGTTGTAAATCAGGCATTGCCATCTTTGCAAGGAGGGTCATTGTAAATAAAACTTACATTCAATTTAAGAAAAAATTATCATAATTTAAACAATTTATTTGAAAACACACTACACAGACAAATAAAAATAGAATATGGAAAATCGGTTTCTGTGGTGCAAAAACACAAAAATAGATTGCTTATTACAAATGATATGAACTCTTTCAGGCAAATTCAAAAATTACAAAGATCCATAGAAAAAGAAACCTGTGTTTAACTAGACTTCAAATAGTTGATAATTTAATTCATAATACAAAATTATAAATTAGAATAATTTAATCTAAAAATTGAGATTTGATTTCAGTGTTCAAATCACAGAGTTGCGACATAAATAGAGAGAAGTTAAACGTTTAAATACCGCATTTTAATGCATTGTTGAACTGGACTGAAAGAAAATATTCAAACCAAGGTTGCGCCTTTTTTTCCTCTCTATATAATATCTCTACTCTATGATTGAAATGAGTTTATTTGCACCAGCTTGATGCCAGCTGCTCAGATGAGATCGTGTTTCCGTTCTTGTCGGTCAACTCATTCTTCTTGTTCCCGTCGTAGTTGCCACACACACCGCAGTGTCGACCCTTTATTGCTAGGGAGGGAACCACCTGCAAATACACACATAAATATAATTAGAGATGGGCACACATAATAGAATTAGAGATGGGCACACATAATAGAATTAGAGATGGGCACACATAATAGAATTATATAGAGATGGGCACACATAATAGAATATTATAGAGATGGGCACACATAATTGAATTATATAGAGATTGGCACACATAATAGAATTTTATAGAGATGGGCACACATAATAGAATTTTATAGAGATGGGAACACATAATAGAAGTTTATAGAGTTGGGCACACATAATAGAATATTATAGAGATGGGCACACATAATTGAATTATATAGAGATTGGTACACATAATAGAATTTTATAGAGATGGGCACACATAATATAATTTTACAGAGATGGGCACACATAATAGAATTTTATAGAGATGGGCACACACAATAGAATTTTATAGAGATGGGCACACATAATAGAATTTTATAGAGATGGGCACACATAATATAATTGGTTCTATGGTTATATTTGATAGAGATGGGCACACATAATAGAATTGGTTCTATGGTTATATTTTATAGAGATGGGCACACATAATAGAATTGGTTCTATGGTTATATTTTATAGAGATGGGCACACATAATAGAATTGGTTCTATGATTATATTGGATAGAGATGGTCAGAGTATTTTTGTACAAAAAACATTTTAAAGAATGAACAAACTTTTTATAAACGATGGTGTCGTTTAGAAAAACGAAAAACACAATATTTTACTAAAGTCAAAAGAAAGAAAAACAACATCGAAATATTTATCATTGTTCAAGTGACCTTTTTTGCTGAACAAACAATTTTCCAAAAGAGTTTGAAAAAACAATTGTTGTTCTACAGAACGAACGGTTTTTAAAACAAACTTACGCGGCCATCTCTAGTATTTTATACTTAAAATAAGTTCTACGGATGTCAGAAGAAGGTCAGTTTACAAAACAAAAATAGCGAAAACTGCACTCTGTATACACTGTACAGCTTGTAAGTAGTATTTGGCTAAGATTGCCCATTGGCATTGCTCTTCAGCTTTAAAAGTTGAAAAAGTTTCACTTTGGAAATTATATTTGGAAACTTTCAACTTGTGATGTTGATTTGGATTAAGTACCTAACATTGAATTATGAACTCAGGAGAACTGAAGCAAGCAAATAATTTTTTTCTTACCTCAACGAAATTTCCATCATACAAAATAGTTGTTCCTTGGATTGTCACAACGTAAGTTTCACCGATGTTATACATCCTAGAAAATAGCATTGTATAATTAATTGTGTATTCAGAACTCCAAATTTGTCATTTAAAGGGAAGCTGTAAGCTTAATTTTAAGTGACCCTGTAAAGAAGGCAATGCCAGACTTACGTCAGTACTCTTTGTGTGTTCGTCTAGTACAGAGATTTATGAGTGTAAACTTATCAAAACCCACTTGTATTCAGCTGCATTGTCCAATGCGCACTATGTTTGGTGTCCGTAGGGATAACTGAATACAATGTTCCAGTTATCCCTACTTACACCAAACATAGTGCGCATTGGACAATGCAGCTGAATACAAGTGGGTTTTGATAAGTTTACATTTCATAATTTCAGGAGTTTGTCTTTCAGGAGTTTGTCTCGTCAGGAGTTTGTCTCGTCAGGAGTTTGTCTTTCAGGAGTTTGTCACGGCGCCAAAAAAAGGACAATTTTTACTTAATTTGATATTTTCATGATTTTCATGTGGTTTTAAGAACAATGATTACTTGAATATTTCTGATCCTCCTTCAGTGTGGGTCTTTTCATCTTTGGGATTTAACTCCAGAGCGTTGTCGTTTAAGGTGACTTTCATTGTTTTAGAGCTGGTTGGGTTAAACTCAATCTTGTGACCACCAGCATAGATCTAAGATATTAAAGGGTATTTTTTGTTGTTGTTATTTTCATCTTTTTCATGATCGATTTGTCTTATAAACTTCTTTAAATTCTTTGGAGCCATTAGTTTAACATTTTGAATAAGAATTTTTATAGCTGCACTCTACAAAACATTCCAGGTGTTCTTTTTCTTAGAATCATTTTAATTTGTTAATTTTGAATCATGCAAAAGGAAAAAATTAACTTTTTCCATTTTTGAAATGTTAAAAATTGTGTTTAAGAAACTATACTAACTGAAAACGCCTTACCTTTGCTGCAAGTGGAAGACCTGTGCCCTTTTTAGTAAATACAGCATAGGTCGGGCGATCAGAGCAGTGTCCAGATACTAAAGACCAGCAACTTTCAGGGCTGTAGGAAAAAGAATTACCATCCATTGAGACAAGAGATGAAGAAGTTAAAATGCAGTAATCTAAATAAGAATTATTATGAAATATGACTTTTATGATTTTGTTAATAATTTTTTTGAAATTGGTTTAAAATGGTTTAAAATTACTTACGTAAAAGATTATTATTTACTAATGCAGGTCCAAACATGTCAAATTTTAGATTTCTCAGAGGCCCTCCAACAGGATTAACCTTGACAGGAATATCCTTAAACTCAGAAACTCCCCCTTCTGTTTCCAATTTAACATCACAGCTTGAATCTCTGTTTTTAAACTCCACATCAAGCTTTACAGTGGGATTTTGGCTGGTGACTGCTTTAAAGGTATCAGGGATGTGTTCCAGATAGGGAAGAAGAACAGTCTTGAACAGGTTTTCAACAACAGAAAGTAAAGATCTCACTTCAGGTGTTGTACTTTCAAAGCCAATATCCCAATGATATTTTCTTGCAAGTGCAGAATCAATTCCAGTCATCCAACAAGACGGGGTAATTGGAATGCCATTTCTATTCTTCCAAGCTGGAGAACTAGTATCTTCCATGCATTTCTGGTAGTAACTTGTTGTTTTTAATGATTCTTTAGCTTCTGATGTTGTTTCATGATTGAAATCTACTTTGATTGAACCTGTAGCATCTGCACAGGATGATGTTTCTCCATACTTAATTACCATATTACCCTTGAGGTTCAGCTTTTCTGTTATATCTCCAATGAGCATGGTATCAGGTAGATCTGGATATTGATTATCAGCAGAAAAACATACGGAATAGTTAGGCAATCCAAGATCTGAATTATCCTGACGGGCAAATTGGGCCCTTATCTCATTTTTGGTTGCACCAGGAGCAAAATCATACTTGAAGTTGAACCTGTAGCTTCTACTTGATGGCTCTCCTTTGAAAACAACAAGAGTTTTCATAAGGAACTTTTTACCAACATAGTTATAAAGGGAATCTTGATCACTCATTTTCCCTTGAATAGTTATTTCAATCTCAGAGACAGGATTTTCAGCTGACTGGGAAAATACAGAGTAAGCACCACATTTCTCATTCTTTGGGAAGTAGGTAAGAAAAACTCTTACTTGTCTTAATCCCATGATCAAACTAGACATAAAATTTTGGGGGTTTTTGTTCATGGGAGAAAAAACATTAAATATGGTCAGTCCAACATTAGCATCTGTTAGATCTAATTCACAGTCAAAATACTCTAATTTAGTTGTTGATCCCATTTCTTTGCTTGTTTCTTCATGTATCAATTTTGACCTAGCATTATTTTTTGTAAGAACATATTTGTCTAAACATTTAGGACAATGAGTTTGCAGTCCATTGCCTTTTTTGGTCATTGGTACTACACCTGTTGACGTTTGAGAATGCATCATAAGTAATTGAGGATGGTTAGCTTCTGGTTGAGAAAATTGTACTTTTAACTCTTTTTTAATCAGATTAACTCCAACCACAAACTTTCTTGGGAACTGTGCACCATATACTCTATCTTGTTTGATTTCAAACATGTTACTGCTTCCTAAATCCATAAATGCCATCATATTCATTCCTTGAGTCCTAAGATTAATGTCAAAAGAGACATCTCTAAATATTACTCCTCTTGAAAGACCTTTTTTAATTGTAGCCTGAACCGAGCCCATGGTAGTGAGAATGGAACCAAAGAACATGGGAAACCCAACTTCAGTCGGTTGTTCATAGAGACCTTGTCCCAGAGTGATTGAACGCTGGTGGTTAATACTATATGAGTTGCCTCCTGTTGCATCTTGAAGATCTTTGAGGAAATCAGCTATTCTCCCACCTTCTTCTGTTGCACTTTCATCATATCTTCTCTGAATAATCACATTACTCTTTAGGGACAGAGTAACTTCAACTCTAACTGGTGAGTCTTTCTTAGTAGTAATTCCCATTCCAGATAGAAGTTTAGCTAAATCATCAATTTTCCAGTCACCTTCAGGTAATTCTTGGAACTTTTTCAAGGCAGCCCTAGCAACACCCTCAATTCTAAGCTCCACTCGAATTATTTCACTCATGTATCTGCCATAAAGAGTGTTTTGAACACTTAGTCCAATCTTCAATGGAGATGCTGAGTCTCCACTGCCCACAACATACATCTGATTAGTTCCACCATATCCATACTTTTCTTTTTCAAACTCCTGAGCCCAGATCTTGGATATGCCAATCCCATACTGTGTGTCATGGGTGCCAACCTGCTTCATATGTCTAAGAAAAAGACTCATCAGTTCTTTTTTTTCTGCATTGCAAGGACTAATTGACTTTGAATACATTTCAAAAAGTGTATAAGCAAAGTTGGCTATTTCAAAGTTTTGTTCTGCATAAAGCATGGTAACAATGGCTGAAAGTTGGGTTACGTCAAACTTGCCATAGCTGATAACCATAAGAGCATTCATTCTTGTTTCAGGTCCATTCATCATGTTCATAAATATGGGAAGATAATATGCGGCCGTGTTTCCCTTTACAAATGTTCCATACATTGCAGCAATGATTGCTGATGCTCGCAGAGAATCATCATTATCAGCATTGTAGATGAATGGCTTTAACACATCTGAAACTTTACCCCATTTCAAATTTCTGAGGCATGATAAAGCAAGAGATTTTTCATCCAGGTCATTTGAGGTTGACAAGATGTTAAAGTATTTGTCTGCATATTGGTCACTGAATTGAGAAAGACATTCTCTACTTTCTTGGGAGCCCATATGTTTACCAGCCAAGTCACATGTCCTTCTTACTAAGTGAGCAATGGTAAGAGGAAGTGCCATTTTGAGGGTGTCATATTTGTCTACTGCTGACAAAGACTCCAGTTCCTTTACAAGCTGTGTGTTGGGACGCCTGATATGATATGGAATAGATGTTAATGCCCGAGCTGCATCGCGTCCATTGTCAAATAGACCCTCAATTATAGCATCCTTAACTAGCATAGCTGCAGCTGTGGTTCCTGTAGATCCTAAAAATTCTGTAAACAAGTTCCTTCTTATTACTCCTTCTTCAGAAGTGTCAGCCCTTAGTTTATTGAATACATTTGTTAAACTTTTGTAATTCAGCTTAATCATGATTGCGAGTGCACTGTTCAGTCCATGCTCATGAGCCTTTTCTATTTCTTTTGATGCATCATGAATACCAAAGGAACCCTGCAACTCACTCAAAGTGTTCAGTAAAGCTTGTTCATAAACACTCTGAGGCTCATTGTAGACTTGACCAATACCAAAGTAGTTTTCTGATGCCTGAAGATCTCTGTCTTTATTCCAATGATATGAGTTGTCCATCTCAAAGGTAAGCTCAGTTAATTTTTCTCCTCCTTTGGGATTGATGCTTCCGTCTGAAGCTTTTACCTCCTGAAGTGTTAACTGCCTCTTAGTGTAAACAAAATGAGATGAACCTTCTGCTTCAAAAAACTGTGCTCCAATTCCTGCTTCTGTTCCCATCTTTTCTACCACAGCTTTGTTGTCACGCATACCAAGAACATAATAAGAGTCGGATTTGGAATATATTGGCTCTGGATTTGATCTTCCTTCTTTTAAATGACCATCCATCAGACTTGCTTCCATGGCATGATTTCCATCACATATCCATCCCCTCCAATTGTCAATAAACCTGTAGGGACGATTGGCACAGTCTGAGAAATGAGACACTGATCTTGTTACAAAGCCCTGGTTCACGGTATAGTGGATGTTACAATCTCCATGCAGAGATTTCTGTAAAAAAAATATATAATTTTTTTCTGACTTATTTAAAGGAATAACAAAACCAATCTTATTGAATTGATAAATTTTTCATTATTTTTATATTAAATATTTATTAGATAATAAATGTTACCTCCATAGACTCAAAATAAGACTTTTCAGATGATTCCTCACTCAACTGTAGATTGGAGGCCAGTGCCTTGATCTGATTTCTAAATAAAAACCTATATTAAGTAAGAAAAAAATTTAATTATCTGTACTTTTAAATTTGATCCCTGATTAGATTTGATTCAGTTTCATAAGACAAAATTTACTTTGTTTGTCTTTTTAAGCATTAAAAGCAGTTAGTTTTAGTTTCAATGAGAACTCCACACCTGTAACTTGTGAGGATGAGTTTTCCAAGAGGAATTTATCAAAATAAAAGGTAATAATTTGCTAATTTGCAAACCTTGCATGTGTGCAAGGTTGTAATGCAAGAAAAGTTATTTCAGAGGTGTACACATCTTTTGTACTGCAGTGTACTGTCTCTGAGCGGTAATGTAAACACTAGACGGATGTCAAAGCCTGACGTGGGATCCATCTTTCACAAAAAAAATCAATGAAATATTCTGGTCATAGGAAACTTTTATGTGAATTATCAAAATTATCCAAATTTAATGCTTTTAACCTCCTTGGATACCTAACGAACACTGATGCATCTATTCTTTTGCATGCAGCGTATACGCAACTGCTATTAACTTTCCATGCATTACCACCTTGCATGTGTGTATGAATATTTATCAACTTATATATCTTATCCATTTTGTATGTTTCAGTTATATGTTTTTGATGTGTGTATATGTGTAGATATGATTCAATAAACAACTAGAGAAACATTTACTCATTATACATGATTCTACCCAGGCAAAACTTGTTGTTTGGGTTTTATTAAAAGTAACCACGAAACTCAATACTTTCAAAAATCCCTTAATTAAAATTATCTCAGCAGAGCTTGCGATTTTAAAAAATCGGGAAAGTACGAATTAGTAAGCTGTCGTTGGGCCTTATTTACGGCTTGAGCTTTCGGATTCAAGTTGTTGTTAGGCCTTATTTACGGCTTGAGCTTTCGGATTCAAGCTGCATCTTATTTTCAACAGATGAGTTCAAACTTTGACTATTTACTCTATTTTTAATTGTATTTAGAATACGAGAATCCATAAACCTTTCTTGGGGCCATGTGAGGTTCCACAAAATGATTAGATCAGCCGTTTTGACTTTTATCGGTTACAAAGAAACAGACAATCTAAGCATATATTTATATGAAACCTTTTGTATTGGAAGAAATATATATTTAAACATCTAAAATGTATATTTAAACTGAAAAAAGTTGAAAATACTATATACATATATATATATATTAATACATATACAGAGGTTTGGTCCATCATCGAATGTTATATATTAATATAAATATATATATATATATATATAGCTATATATATATATATATTTATATTAATATATTGAGGATTACCCTGTTGTTTACCTGACGTGTACAGGGTGCTGCGGGGGCACTTCAATGCTAACAATCTAGAATAAAAATCTGTGTTATAAGAAATGTGTCATTAAATCCGGTTTTTTATTTTTAAGATACAAAATATTTAATTTATCTAGTATATTGTTGCACGTGTGAAATGCCTATCAGTTCTATATTGAAAGAAATGTTTAGTCTACACTGTAAAAATCAAAAAGAAAATATTAATTTTGTAAACTGTTGCCAGGGATCAATATATTATTGAAATAATAAATGTAAATTTGCCACAAAACATGGCTTATTTTCTGCATGAACTTTTTTAATGTGACACAGGTCGTATTGAGGTTCTCTGGTTGTTAAATATTTAAAGCCCTATGCAGAAATTTTCCATCCCGGCCCTACATCCCCTGCGGCCATTGTACACAATCCTGCTCTATAGTTCATAATCTGATATTCTAATCAAAGAGAATAGAATATATATTAGAGTGGAATTTAGACAATCCTTCGGTATGAATTTTATCAGTCCCTTTCAGCCTGAAAGGGAATTCAAAGTGTACAAATCATGTAAATGTTCACAAATTATGTTGTGAACCATATCCCTCAAATTTCCCCTGTTGTAAGGTCGTCTCCGACAAACTGTATCTCCGTTGAACCCTCCGTCCACCCACCAAACCAAACATTGCCAAGGATTTTGCATAAACATAAACAATAACCTCATGGAGCTAATAAAAATTTAAGTGCATTAAAAGAACCCATTTAAACATAATTTTCAGTTAATCATTTGCAATCAAACAGTGAACTTATTTAACCAGACGAATATTTATTTTCAGAAGAATTAAATTGCTTTAGACTTCAGTTCAAACAACTCCAATCCTGCTAAACCTACAAAACCTAGAATTCCAATACTCATTTATTGATAAAAACCTTCAACTGTTTAATCTTTATTAACAATTATTATTTATATGCAAGTACGTCAATAACAATTTGTATTTTGTAGGAAACCTCGTTACTGAAATATACAGTTTCAAGAAGTTCTCGTCTATCTGTGTATGGTTGGACAGAGTGTTTCCCTCACGAATTTGCCTTATTTCCCTATTTCGAGTGTTATTCCTTTTGTTCGGCTCACATATGTGCAGTAGAGTACATTAATACAGTATGTTCCCTAGACTATCCATTTTAATTTCGAATTTTTTAAAGCTGTCAAATAAACTTGATAAATGAATAAGGTAAATGAAAAACATCATTTGATTTATAGTTATAACAGAAAATCATCGTTTGTAAAATGAAAAGCATAGAGTTTATGTGAAATGATAATTGGTCAATTATGAAACCAGCCTATTTCATAATTTGGTTTTCTTTTAATATTAATTTTAGATTTTCTATAAAATGATGTTCCAGGGCCCAAAAGGTTATATAGCATAAATATGTGAAGTACACCTGCAGTATGGAAACAGTACAACAAAATGGCCATTTAACACTTTTTTCTAGTAAATTCCACTCTAAAATATATTCTATTCTCTTTGATTCTAATCCCTATATATTTGCAACAGCTGATGATACACAAACCTTTGATATTTGATCAAACAGAGTTCAAAGCTTCAAATATCAAAGTCCTAAGACCTGCAGAGCTTTGAACTGTTGTGTTGGATATTCATAATCCCGATCCCTTGATATCGATATCCACACTGAGCTCTTTTTATTTGAGGATTAATGCTTAAAGGGACTGTAAAGGAAAAATGTAAGGGGGTATAGACTGAAACCTTAGAACTTCAGGAGTTGATCGAGACCTAAAAGAGTTCTATCTGATGTTCCTGTCTCGAGAAATTGATATAAAACAGTGTCAAAATCATACCAATACCAATATATATAAAATTTGGTACAATAATCTAAGTTTTAAACAGATCGTAACCAATCTTAAAACGGCGATATCCCAGAGGATCCTGAAAAACTAAGTTTTGCTCTTAATATTATTTGAATTTCATAATTTTTCTTTTTTAATAGCTATAAATGATTATATAAATAATACGTCCGCATCACATGGCCAGAACTTCCACCAATGGCAGTGCTGTATCATTTTCATGTGAGTCCGTCTGGATTAACAAAAGATTGAGATTTGGATTCAACAAAACAAGAGTTTCCAGATTTAAATGTAAACATAAAAGTGTTAAAATTTGAGTTTGAGACAATAAATTTGAAATGATGTTGTGACCAACCTTTCCCTTATTGTAGTTTACAACAAACTCATAGGAATATCCAGCTGCATTCTCATAGCTAACATTACCCCACGCTGAGTGGTCTATAACAGAATGTAAAGTTGAATTACAACAGTTAGAACAAGAAAAGTTTAAATCTTACAAAACTAAAAATTTCATAAAGTAAAATCTTAAAGTTATAATTACTAAAGATATATAAATAGTAAAATTGCAAAATTAATATTGCTTATAAAAGGTAGAATTGCAAGGTGTTAACATTACAAAAGTTAGTATTACAAAAGTCATAAATACAAAAGATAGAAATAAAAGAAAGAATGCCAAAAAGTTATTTTTACAAAACTAAAACGTGTGTAAGTTGAAATCTCAAATTACAAAAGTTAGAATTACAAAAGATAGAATTACAAAATGTATGATTACAAAAGTTAGAATTACAAAAGCTAAAATTACAAAAATTATGATTATAAAGGTTAGAATTAGAAAAGTTATAAATAGAAAAGTTAGAATTATAAAAGTTGGGATTAGAAAAATTAAAATTACAAAAGTTGGATTTACAAAAATTAATATTATAAAAGTTAGAATTATAAAAGTTGGAATTTTAAAATTTAGAATTACAAAAGTTGGAATTACAAAAATTATAATTATAAAAGTTAAAGTTAGAAAAATTAGAATTATTAAAGATGCAATTACAAAAATTATAATTATAAAAGTTAAAATAATAAAAGTTGAAATTAGAAAAGAAGGAATTACAAAACTATAATTTTAAAAGTTGGAATTAGAAAAGTTAGAATTAGAAAAGTAATAATTACAAAAGTTAGAATTACAAAAGTTAGAATTACAAAAGGTAGAATTGAATTGAAATAATTACAAAAAGTTATAATGACAACAGTCATAATCACAAAAGATAGAATTATAAAAGATATTATTACAAAACTAAAACTTGCGTAAGGCAAAATCTTAAAGTTAGAATTACAAAAGTTAGAATTACAAAAGTTAGAATTACAAAAGTTAGAATTACAAAAGTTAGAATTACAAAAGTTAGAATCACAAAAGTTAGAATTACAAAAGTTAGAATCACAAAAGTTAGAATTACACATTGACAAAAATTGAAGAGGTGTAGTTGCCAAGTATAAAAGATTAGATAGAAAATCACAATTTATAATTTCATGATGGAGAATTACATAAATAAAGAAAACATTAGAAGAATTCTGAAAGATTTCAAAAAAGAACTAATTAGAATTATAGAATTAAAATAATGTGACCTGTAGGATATGGTCCATTGTATTTAGCGTATGTAATATCAAAAACTCGAACATTCACTTTGTCATCGCCAACCTTAAATATTAATTTTTCAAAAAATAAAACCATTACAAATGTACCCACATAGTTTAAGACAAATTATGTCAGTTTGATTACTATTAGTTATTTAGAAGAAACTTTCCGAAAGAAAAGGAATTGAGTCTTTGTCACAAACTTAAATTTACTAATCCCAATATGTCTTTTCTACCCAATGTCTACGACATTTGGGCGCGAAAATATATAGGAATTAGAGAATCAGAGTTTGTGTTAAACACAACGAGGATATGGTGCACTTTGACTTAGAAAACAGATGGTAGCAAAAAAGTCCATCAAAATTTATGGATTAGCACTGGAGAAAAAACCCGGAAATATTCAGGTTTTTTAATGAAATTTTGATTATGACGTTGTTTTCTTGATATTTTTACCAATGTATTTGTCTATAGAGTGAACAAATGATATTATATTTAACGTTGATTAGGGTTCCCAATGCAAGTGGGTTTTACTTGCAAGCAACTGCGAGCCCCTTAATTCCGCACAAGTCTGCTTAATTGCTCGCAATTCCAAGTAGTTCCGCCGATTCCTCGAAACGGAATTCTGGTTGGAAACCCTAATGAATGCATGCAGTCCATACCTGTAATCTGACTGTGGAAGTCCATGACATTCCAGCGGCAGCTGGTGTGAAGTCCATGGTACCAGCTGTTTGTATTCCCTCCTCCTTGTAAACGTATTCCCTTCCATCCTCGAGAAAACATGAGGCTAAGCCTAAAAATCCAGATTGTTTTTGTTTATATCAAGGTTGTTCAGTAAGGTTGCTTACTCTCGATGCGCTCCAATGTACAAACAATGTCGTCTCCTAATTAATAGAAGTGAAATCCGTAAATAACGTCACTAATCCTTACACTCGCCTCTATTATCAGTAACGTCATTTATCTCATTAACGTCATTTGTTTATGAGACGACATTTTCCGTACATTGGAGCGCATCGAGTGTAAGCAACCCTTGATTTATTGCCATATAAAAAAACATCAAATAGTGTCTATAGAGAGGGACCGTCCCTTTCCGCTCAAATTCTGAACGAAAAATCGGCTTTTTCTCCGGTCACAGTTGTCTTTGAAAAGTAAGATTATTACCAATCAAGAGCGAATAGGCTGTTTAGTTTACCCTGAAATTACCCAAATAAGTGAACGGTCCCTTTAAAGTTAAAAATCTAGTTTTTTAGTCTTTAGTCATTAACTTTGACTCTTTTTGAGTCTTTTAAGTCAAAAAAAAATTTCGCCTGCGGCACGATTTTTTTTCCTAATTATTAATTTTTTTGTTCCTAAAAAATCTTGCCCCTCCCTCACTTAAATCCTGTATCCGCCCCTGGGTAGACTGTCCCGTTTTGCTGTGTTTAATCTGTATACTGTATACTGTACAACTCACAGGCAGCCGTAGTACATTTCCGAGCTGGGTCAACCTTTCCGGTCCCAGTTTGTACAGTACCGTACGGACATTGGGTTAATAAAGCAGACAATCAACAGGACTAGCTGGTGCAACATGGTTGACGCGGTCAGACTTTATGCTTCATTTACGTTGAATTTACTTTTACTAAAGGGGCAGAGGTGCGTGAACTTTCCCTAGCTGCGCGCCTTATAGTCTTCCAGATACTTTAAATTGACAAGAGTTTTTAGCGCGTAAAAAAACACAAAGAACGAAATACCATAGTTGCCAAAGATCGACAATAGGGTTTCATAAATTCTACTAAAAGTTATTGAAAGAAAAAGTATAATGGGCCATGCAGATTTAATCAATTAAGGAAAATTCAAAATAATTAATTTGTAAAAAAAAGTTAAAGTTAAAAAAAACTTTTTATGTAAATTCTAAAATTCTATTAAGAAACCTATAGTTGATAAGAGAATGAGGAGCTTCATCCTTGGCCCCCCTTCCACACGTACTGCGCCCTGATCAGTCTCAGCAATATCTTATATAAACTTTACAACATGTGACACAATATTGGGGTTAGTTCAGGTCAGACAGCTTAAAGGGAATGCTCACAACTTTAGAAACTGAGATTTAAAAAACATTTTTGAGATTTTTTTTATTTTCATGAATTTTTACTAAGACAAACTTTTTAACTGAAAAGGTTTCTTTCTAATAACAATTTCACCTTTTTTGCTTATATAATAATTTCCCGGCATTTCTTCTTTTTAGTTTACATCTAAAGAAAGATGTATTTCAAGGAACGCTTCGTGCTCCTCTTTTAGTATATAACAAGTTTAGCTGGTAAACGTTGCTCTGCAAGCTGCCATTTTCGTCTGCATATTTCGTGGAATTTCAAAAATATTCAAAGTTTACATTATTTTCCGTTAACAATTTGTTTATCTCCAACCATTCATAAACCTTTCCTGGGGTCATGGGAGTTGTCATATCAATATTTTGGCATAATCGGTTCAGCTGTTTAGACGTTTAATGGATACAGACAGTCAGTCAAAGAAAAGTATATGAAATTGTAAGCATGAAGAAAGGCTTACTTGTACATAAACTGTAGTCAATGATAGAAGTGAGGGACAGATGACAAGTCTTCTCATCGATCATGTAGGGAGCAGTGGGACAGATGACAAGTCTACTCATCAGTATCATGTAGGGAGCAGCGGGACAGATGACAAGTATTCTCATCGATCACGTAGGGAGCAGTGGGACAGATGACAAGTCTACTCATCTGTATCATGTATAGGGAGCAGTGGGACAGATGACAAGTCTTCTCATCGATCATGTAGGGAGCAGTGGGACAGATGACAAGTCTACTCATCTGTATCATGTAGGGAGCAGTGGGACAGATGACAAGTCTTCTCATCGATCATGTAGGGAGCAGTGGGACAGATGACAAGTCTACTCATCAGTATCATGTAGGGAGCAGTGGGACAGAGGACAAGTCTACTCATCTGTATCATGTAGGGATCAGTGGGACAGATGACAAGTCTACTCATCAGTATCATGTATAGATATTTATCCGTTAAGAAATGCCAACTCCTCGTAGAAAAGCAAACCACCGAATTGAAACCGGGAATTCTATTGTTAATTCATCCATTAGGGGATAGACAAGGGTTTGAAAACAAGGCAGGAGTAAACGGCATGACCTGGGCTAAAGCCGAAACAAAAACCAGTTGTGACGAAGGGTCGGAAGAGTTACCCCGATCAAGGCGAATGAAAAGCGGAGAATCCGCCACGAGAGCTCCGGCTTTCTATGAGTCAATGATTCATTAGTATAATTTTATTTGTTCATTTTTTGCTTGTAAATACATTTTTTCCTAAACTCTGTGGATTAACTCACGTCAGTTTTTAGACAATAAATTTCCTTATTTCATACTACTTTTTAATGGTAACAATTGGCAAACAAAATTAAATACGGGGTTACCCACAAAGGTTGAGACTTCAGAGACGATTGTACAAAATCTATTTTAGTCCATTTGAATGCAGAAACCGAAATTCAAGCTTCTAATCGTCATATTTTTAGGGTTTGGGCTGCTTTACAGTCTCATCCTTGGCGGGTAACCAAGCATTTCTCAGATTTTCCTATTTTAATTTTTCTGAATTTCTGTACAAAATTAAGCTAGATTTAAAGCTTATGGCCAAAATTTAAAGCTAAAAATGAAAACGAAAAATATTTACGAGGATAAAGTTTTAAAAAAGTTAAAATTATAAACCTCTCTTTGGTGATGCAATTCGCAAGCGGCAAACGGCAAACGGCATATCCGGCCGAAATTTTATTCTGATACTTCACAGGTCCAAGGAAGGTTTATGGATAGCCATAATTTCAAAAATTTGACTTTTTCAAAATACGCCAAAAATTTAAAATTGAAGATGTGCACGAAGCGCTCTGAAAGCCTAGGAATTTATATACTCCGCTTTAGATCATTGTATTCATTTAAACTATCACCTGATTAAATTAAGTAAAATATATTTAATATATAAAAATAGATTTTTGAAAATGAATCTTCCTTGAATCTACCAAATATATTAAATAATTAGTCTAGTTAGAAAATACAATTTGAAAATTCATTAAATGTTATTAGAATTGCGGAGAAATGAATGATATTTGAATTAATATTTGGGAACCAACTTAAATAAGCGTCTTAAAAAAAGGTAAAACATTTTTTTTAGCTTTTTTATCCAAATATTATAAAAAATTTAAATCTGTTGAAAAGCATAAAATCGGAAACTTCAAAACATAAATATCACAAATTACGTCATAACTTCAATGTTTCTTAAAATAATTTATGTAAATAAAATGGGGTTAGTGGACTTCAATTGGAGGTCCCATTTTCCTCAAAAAAAAAACCATAATTAAAAACTCCTCTTGCTTGTCCAAATGATCCCACATATAAAACAATTGTTATAGTCATAAAACGACGCCCTTTGATGTCTTTATTGCAGTGCAAAAAAATCCAATATATTTTATTAATCCTTTCGATGAATTATTTTAGTCTAAAGATGACTTTATTGGGCCTAACAGTAATTCCACTCATAAGCGGGGTTTTAAAAGTTGTTAAACTATTTGACAAAAATTTCTCTACTCAGCCATTTCAAGGGTGTACGAGGGAGGGGCTGGCTCGGCGTGCCCCCCTTGAGGGGGGCACCCTTATAAAAATACTTTAAAATCTCACTTTTGCCCTTAATTAAAAAAGGTCCATTAAAAAAGCTTAAATCAATAATGCCTTCAATGTAAATGTATCATTATTTATAATTATACAACATGTATCGTTTCTATGAAAATATAGATATTTCTACAGAAACGTTTCCATCTCTATTTTTCACCCATTGAAGCTTACACCACAGTATTTAAGAGGAAGTGTCTGATGAGTCCACTTAAGAAAATTGCATAAATAATTTATTAATACCTGTTATATGGAATTGTGTATATATGATCGAATAGTTTACATATGTTAAAGTATGTATCAATATTTTTTCAAAAAAGGGGTTTATAAGGGGGGGGGGACACAAATGCTTTCGTACGCCACTCAGTCGTTTAAAGAGATATCAAAGGTTTCTATTCTTCTGTGCAATCTTATAAGAAAATTATACCGAAAACGAGTTTTAAATATTTTTTTTTTGCCTCTAAATTTGTCAATAAAACACATTTAGGCCATTTCTAAACTCCCAAAATATTTTCAAACAGAATGGAATTGAGTTTGAAATTTTTTTGTTACTTTAATCACTCCCAGATGGAGATGAAGGAAGATGAAAAAGACGCGATTTTTCACCAATTTCTGAGTATTTGATCATCAAAAACTCAAAAAAAAAACTCTGTCAAATATTGTCAATACTAATTTAAATGATCTCTAAAATGATATCACATTCCAAAATCTCTAAAATATTGACAGAGCTAACCCAATTTAGCCGAGAATAGTTGAAAAAAGCCAAAAATGCCAGGAAAAACAGTAAAATCGAATTGGGCCGTTTGGGGAAATTATTCTTAAAGGTTAAAATTTCGTATTTACCCTAATGTTTCCTAAAAATGTGTCGCACAACTGGGATTTTTTTTCAGGGGCTCCCTGGGGGGGGGGGGGGGGAGAAATATATAATAGTTAAAAATCACCCATATTCCCTTAAATTAATTTTATATCATTAATATAAACTTTTTACAAACTCAACTCTGTTGTCTTTGAATAATTTTTTTATTGCATTAAAACAACGATTTGGGAACTCCAGAAGTTTGAGAATTCCAGTGTAAAATGCATAGCTAAATAAAAATGCCCCCCCCCCTCTACCCTCTCTCCCCTCCACTATAATTTGCACACTATACAGGGTGTATCAAATTAACTTGTATTAAACAGTCAACCTCTTATACCTCCCCCTTATTTATTATTTGCACTAATATAATAATAAACATGAGTTAAGATTAGAGATAAGATAACCTAGTTTAATATAGTAAAGCAGTTCTCCACCTATCTGTCAAAATATCTAACTCTCAAGCCTTTTAGCTGTATCTGTATCTGTATCTTTATCTGTATTTGTATTTGTATCTGTATCTGAATCTGAATCTGAATCTGTATCTGTATCTGTATCGGTATCTGTATCTGTATTTGTATCTGTATCTGTGTCTGTATCTGTATCTATATCTGTAACTTCATATGTATCTGTATCTGTATCTGTATCTGTATCTTTATCTGTATCTGTATCTGTATCTGTATCTGTATCTGTATCTGTATTTGTTTCTGTATCTGTGTATGTATCTGTATCTATATCTGTAACTGTATCTGTATCTGTATCTGTATCTGTATCTGTATCTGTATCTGTATCTGTATCTGTATCTGTATCTGTATCTGTATCTGTATCTGTATCTGTATCTGTATCTGTATCTGTATCNAACATGGGGGGGTGTAAAAAATGCTAAACTACAGAAAATCAAGTCTTTGCAAAAAAGGGCAATTAGAGCAGTAAATAATAGTTCATTTAAGGCACACTCAGATCCAATATTTTTCAGATTAGAACTCCTAAATTTTGATGATACATATAAACTAGGTGTTCTATCTTTTATGCATAAATACTTTTATGAAAACCTTCCAGCTTCCTTCCATGATATGTTTAATTCTTTAGCTGAACCAAATAGAACAAAATCATATAAGCTTGAACAGGTTCTCTTTAAAACTCTAGAATGTTTTCCCTCTGCTTTATTTCCAAAAATATGGAATTCGATTGAATTAGAGCTGAAAGAAACTAAATCTGCAAAATCGTTTAAAGAAAAGTCGCCAAGATCTCTTTAGATAGTTATGCAAATTATACCTGTAAAAAACAAACTGTGTATCATGTGGATAAACTTAGTCTTTACTATCTTCATCACCCTGTAGTTCATAAACATGATTTTAATAACTTATGTTACCCTCTGTTCCAACCCTTACGCTGAGTATCCTCATTCTTATGTTTAAAATGTACAATGTACATTGTTTTTATC